CACATGAAGGTTATATAGACTGAGTATAGACAGTGTGAGTATTGGCAGTATAGTATGTGTACATTTCATGTGTACATGCATTTGTCTTGATTTTGCAATGAGATTCACATGGATTAATGCCTATATCTGATGAATGCAGATTTTTCATATATGAGGGACACAACTGGAGAGAGGAAGTTATGCACACTTTTGCTATAGCCATGACAGAAATTTTCAGGAATTGGGTAATTTTCTATTGGAACAACTTATTTTGGGATGTGGCATAATTTTTCATCATCTCAAGTACTTAAGTGAAAAATATTTATCTTCCTTAAAGCACTTCTGCATCTAATTGCTGTTGTCCTGATGAAGCTTCTATGTCTTTGCAAACTGCATTTGGGTAGTTGTGTTGTTCTAATTGTCCCTTCCTGTTGGCCATTCTGGTTTTAGCCTTCTGAAACTCTGTTCATGTTACATTAGACTGATTCAAGTTGAGTCCCCAGTAGCAGAGTCTGTAGAGATTTTGCAAAACATACAGAGATTATAATTTCTGCTGGTACTAACACACCTCTGTAACAACACAGATGGGATGTCTTAGCTCCACTGTAAGCAAATAGGCATTTGTATGATGCTTACAGAACTTGTCATGCTTCACACAAAGAGTTTCATTTTTGCTAGATTTAATTAGTTTCCTCATTTTTACATGCCATTGCAAAGCTAAAGTACTTTACTATTTACAAGGCAATACTGTGTCCAAATCTTTCAAGCACAGTTTAATAATTCTGTATGGTACCTAAAACAGAACAGGATGCCAGTTTGCCAGACACCCCACAGGCCATGCACACTCTGCACTGACAGTTGCTGGTTTTCCTTGTTGAGCAGAGACTACATTTCCTTCCTGGCTGTGAAAATAATGTTTTCTCTCCTATCAGATAGACAGAGGCAGCACTTTGAAACTCTTTCCCTTCACAGCAAAAAATGTGGTTCGTTTTCTGAGTTCAGGACTTCTGAGTTCATCTGATTTAGAAAAGTTCTGCCATTGAATCTTTGTCTGTTTTCTGCCCTTGGCACAAATTATAGTTTTGTGGGAACTGAAATGTGTGTTTTTGAGCAATAACAGCTGCTAAATGAGTAAACTAACGGAATGATTTTTCTAGCCCTAATTTTCATGGTGATTAAAAAACTCCATTGAAGAGAAGTATATGGTCAAGTTATATTGCTGTAAAATGATTTAAAGGATTATAAAATTTTGGTACTTGTAAACCAGTCATGACTACAAAGTAGCCTAAGTATTTGTCTTCTATATTTTATAAAGTCACATCAGCGTTTTTCCTTCAAAGCTGTTTTTTATTCAAACTGCGCACTGTAAGCAGATTTATAGCATGACATCCTTTCTTTAATTTGGTATAGAAAATGTGGGAGCATATTCACAAAAAATGCAATGAAAGGATTTTTTTTTTCCATCAGCTGGTCATTTTATCTTTTAACTAGCATTAACTGTATTTTTGTGCTACATAAAATATTGATAGGATTCTCTTTCTGCTTTCTTGCCACGATTATTTAGGAAAAGAAGCCCTTCAATATCAAGAGAACAGAGCAGAAGATACGACCAAAGGGACGAGAGAGACGAATACTCACAGTATGCTACATCAGACAGTGCGATGCCCAGGTCACCATCAGATTATTCAGATAGGCGGTCACAGCGTGGGCCCCAGTTGTACGAAGAGCCTGAACTGGGTGATTATAGAGATTCCAACAGGAGGAGCCGCAGGCGTTCCAAGGAGTATCCGGTAGAAGAAGAAGATGCGCAAAGCAGGGAAGAATATGAGAGGCAAAGGAGGGAAGAGGAATACCAGGCACGATACCGGAGTGATCCTAATTTGGCTCGTTATCCAGTCAAGCCGCAGCCATATGAGGAACAAATGCGTATCCACGCTGAAGTGTCCCGCGCACGTCACGAACGCAGGCATAGCGATGTCTCGCTGGCAAATACAGAGCTGGAAGATTCTCGGATGTCCATGCTCAGGATGGAACGGCCATCAAGACAAAGATCAGTGTCTGAGCGCAGGGCCGCCATGGAAAACCAACGTTCATACTCTATGGAAAGAACTCGAGAGGCTCAGGGACCAAGTCCCAATCGTCAGAGGACCACAAATCATAGCCCTCCTACACCTAGGAGGAGTCCAATTCCTCTGGAAAGACCAGACATGAGGCGCTCTGATTCTTTAAGGAAACAGCACCATTTGGATCCCAGTTCTGCTGTTCGGAAAACAAAGCGTGAAAAGATGGAGACCATGTTACGGAATGATTCGCTCAGCTCGGACCAGTCTGAATCCGTCAGACCTCCTCCACCAAAGCCCCATAAAACGAAAAAAGGAGGTAAAATGCGCCAGGTTTCATTAAGTAGCTCAGAAGAAGAATTGGCATCCACTCCAGAATATACAAGCTGTGATGATGTAGAGATTGAAAGTGAAAGTGTTAGTGAAAAAGGTAAGATTCCTAATTTTTTTATTGGTTCACTATATAGATTTTATTTGGTTTCTACTGCTTTGGACATTTAGCTATTTAAAATGGTTGCAACCACACATCTACAGCCCTTCACAGATGACTCAACTTTGTTGTGATGGGAATCGGGATTTTTTTCTGATTTTGTGTTTCATTTACATAAATGTGATGATTTATGTGGAAAAGATCATCACAGCTCCTATAAGTGTTTGGATTAGTTAAAGGAAAAAACATGCCTACTGAAAAACCTATCAATGAAATCTCCAAAATATCTAAAGCTGGGCTGTCATATAAGGCCACGGTTTCATGTTATTTAACACCAGATTTGCGTGCTCCTGGATCACAATGAGTGCATATTTGATCTGGATCAAGTGTGGGCGCATGACCGCGTTTTTGTTGAATTAACTGGAGCACATGATACAGCCCTTATGCCAGTTTCACGCTGTCTGCTGCAGGTTAAAGAATGTCTGATCTGCAAAAAGATCTGTGTATGTAAGGTTAACACACTGAAGTTTTGAGACAAATTTAAAATGACTGATGCTGTTTACACCAATAGAGGTTTCTTTTCCTTGTGGTGCTATGATGAATTTTGATTTTAGTGCTTTTTAGAAGTAGTTTTGGAATTACTTTCGGAAAGAAAACTAAGATTGATTGAAATTACTTCCCAGCCTATAAAAGGATAATTTCTAATTAAATATGAAAGTATTGGGGACCATGAATTTAAACTCAATGAAATTAATATTATGAGTTCACTTACCTTCATGTATGTTAAGCTTTTTTGAGTTATTATTCTTATACCAGTGAACCTTTGTTACTTCCTCTAAATGGTTATCTGCTGTTGTGGATTGTGAATAGAAAATTTACTACTATTTATTTTATTATTATTAATATTGCTATCAAGTTGGTTCTGAAGCAAGTAATTAACTTGAGTAAGTGTAATAACTCTGAATTTTCATATGTCAATATCCACAACCATGGTCTGATAAGTAAGGAGCAAGATTGTGTAGAATGGAAGGAATTTTCACCATGTCAAAGTAGACAGTTGCATGTACTTATGTGAAACAACTGTGCTGAAACCTTGACCCACTTAGTGTTCCTGATTAGTAGAAAAAACTTATACCAACTTTATGGTGTTCATGATTTTGCTCTTAGAAGCAACCTTGAGAAAGATAGGACCAATCAATACAGGGGAAGTAGTAACAAAATGTTTATTTAATGCAATTCAGTGCAGGAAATGTATTATACAAGGTAATATAGACAATATATTTTTTCTACACATAACAAAGCATATACATTGAGGATTATAAAAGCACAGAATCATTTAGGTTGGAAAAGATCTACAAGATTATTGATTTCCACTAATTTAGCACTTCATGGCTTCTAACACATCAATAACCCTTGTGTCTGCTGCTGCACGGCTCTCTATCCCCTACCTCCATGGAGACAGCAGAATGAAGGACCCCACTGGCACAATGTCTCTAAGACACTGGAAGGGTGCTGCCTAATTTATCTGTAACAAGTCTGGTTTCATGCCTTTCCCCTTCAGACCTAGTTTAAAGCTCTGTCCATGAACCCTGCTAATGCCTGAGAAAAATCCTTTTCCTCTTTTGAGACAGGCGATCCCCATTTGTCATCAGCAGGCGTGGTGTCATGTAAACTGTAAACATGATCAAAACCCCACAAAATTCTACTGGCTCAGAGTCAAATATTGGTCTGCTGGATCTCCCTCTCTTCCCTCCTCATTTCCTGCAACTGGGAGAACAGAGTAGAAGCCCACTTGTACTCCTGGTTCCTTTACCTGTCATCCTAAAGCACTGATGTCTCTCTTTGATTGCCCTTGGATTTCTTATTGCCACTTTTCTGCCCACCTGAAAAATCCGTAACTGCTGAAGGCCTTGCCTGGATAGGAACCTTTCCCTTCATGTCTGGGTCTCAGGGATCCACTGGACTTTGACAAGAAGTGGGCCTGGTCTACATATTGGACCTTCTGCTCCTTTCAGATGAGAGTTTAGAACATCCTCTACAATTCTAACAATTCTAGGTTCTCTGTAATAAATTCTAGGTTCTTTGTCATCTTACGAAACTTACAGCTTTCACTTAAATAATTTTTCATTTTAGGTGTCAAAGAAAACATTCTTACTGATAACAATAGTAAATAATAATGACAGTGTCGTGTCTGTCCTGATTTCTGAGGGAATGAATGAAGCTATTTGTTATTTGTTATACAAGTTAATTAAAAAAACTTGCAAAGATTTTGCAGGGAAAAAACATTCCTTACTATGCTTTGTTCATCTTGATTAAATTAGTGTAAGCACTTTTTAATGACATACAGAGTATAACTGTGTCAAAGTGGCCTAGTGGTGGCCTGCAGCTGGAACCAATGTGGAGAAAACCTTGGTTTTTCATAAAGGAGAAGAGCAACTGCTTGAACTGGGGAAGGATGTGACTGCTTTGACTGTGTCTGCTCCCAGCCTGTGCTGGGGATCCTGGGCTGGGGGAAGAGACCATGCATAGCACGGGAAGTCATTCCAGGAGTAACTCCTGTACTGGAACCAGAGCCAGCTGTGCCAGGCTCAGCAGCCCATGTCACACAACCAAATATCTTCAGACCCTCCTACTTCTCCCCTGCTCTTTAACCACTGGACTGGCATTTTTTGCAAAGAGGGACTGGGTCTCCTGTGCAAGAAACGTGGACCTGGCAGCACTGACATGAGGGACTGGTACGGTGTTTGGTGGGATGAGATGTGCTAAGACCATGGTCAGGAGCTGACACTGACTGGTGAGTTCATTCTTTAGAAGCTCAGGAAACAACACATGAGAACAGTGTTAAATGGACATAGCTGAGATTACAAATGAGTTTACCTGAAACTTAGGTTGTGCCAGAATTAGACACATTTTTCAGAGTGAATTTTGTGCAGATCTTCATAGACATTGAAACTCTCTTTAGTGACATAAACGAGCACCAATTTAATAGATGGCCTCTGCCTTTTTCTGTGAATAGGATGAACAATTCTTTCCTATTGTGTTATTCGAATTTTTCTGAAATGAATAATATTTTCTCTGCATTATGTAAGAGACCCTTCTTCACTCTTGCTGTGAATACCAGGCTTCTGTAACTGAAAAGATGTCTCAATTTACAACACTTATTGCCAGTCCTGAGATCAGTGTAGCAGACAGTTCAAAGCTGTATCTCCATGACAGGACCTCCTGGCTGTCTTAGGAAATACACTTTGGAGGCAAAAAAAGAAGTTGCCTATACGTTTTGGACAAAAATATCAGGTATATTGCTATTTTCTGTAATAATGAAAGATCAAAATTGCTTAAAATGTTAGGGAAAAACAATTATTGAAATGTCAATGTTTTTATGAAATTGTGAATTTTAAATGGCTGTAAAATGCCTCCTCCATCACTAAACCCAGGTATTATAATGACATTATAAATGTTCTAGACTGTTCAAATCCCCAATTCTTTCCCAAAACCATCTCAGTTTACATGGTGTAGTTTGAAGGCTCTGAGAAATGTGAGTTATAAAAAGAGAACAGTTGTGATGGTATTGTAGCAGAGTCAACTATGTCACCTACAGAGGTCCAAATAAAGCTGAATTTTGTGGTGTGCAAGTCAGGCCAACCTTTCTACATTGATTGTCCAATTTAACTGTCTTCTATTGTGAGGGACAATTAGAGTAGTTTTTTACCTTCATGTTCAGTTAGATGTTTTCCAGTGCAATTCTAAGGAGGAGGCCTTAAGGGGAGGTTTGAAAGGGCCCCCATAATTTGTTAGCTAGCATGAAGCAGATGTGAAGCAGAGTGGCTAATTCTGTGTGTCCACAGGCTTTACAGATAAATTTAGAAAATCAAACCGTACCACTGCCCATGTGCTCCTTATGGCAATACTGTCACACCTGCAGTCTGCCAAAGGACCAATCTGAAGAGACTCAGGAAAGCTTGTGATCCCTGGGGTTGTTTTACCCCCACTCAGAGGAAAGGCACGAGAGAGGCGACCTGCGCTGAAGCTGGGGTTCTGTCTGCACCTTCCCCAAACACTTGAGGGTCTTAAAAACAAGTCTTTACAAATCTCTCAAACTCTAGGGACTCAGCAAGAGACAATCTCTACATGGGAGAAGAGAATTCATTCAAGGAAATCTAGGTGTGTGATAGTTCTAAATATTGCCCTAATTTGTTCTAAATAGAAAGTAGGACATAGTAGACTCTCCAATGATGGTAAACAGTTCAGGCATACATGCAAACCATGCTCCCAGCACTTTTCAGAGCACCCTGTGAAAGGTATCTGTTTGCACAAATGGTGGCTGACATCTAATGTGGGTGGAATCTGTGGTGGGAAAGTGAAATGTGTTTGCGTTTTGTCAGTTCTTAAATTTAGTGTTTGCTTTCGCTCTTATTTTATTAAATTAAAACATCATAGGTAGTTAGTTTTTATTGTCAAAGAAACTCACATGCATAGAAAGATAGAAATCTTTACGTTGGAAGAGATCTTTGGGATAAAGTCCTACTGTTAACTTAAGAATGACAATGTCACCACTAAACCAGTGTCACATCCATGCCTTTTAAATACTTCCAGGGCTGCCCAGGGGACTAGTGAATCAGCTAGTCCCCTGGGCAGCCTGTTCCTGTTCTAGTGTTTGATAACCCTTTCAGTGAAGAATTTTTTTCCTTATATCCCGTCTAAATTTCCCCTGCCACATCATGAGGCCATTTCTCTCCTTTCTGTTGCTTGTTACTTTGGAGAAGAGTCCCACGCCGACGTGGCTACAACTCCTCTCAGGTGGTTGTAGAGGGTGATAAGGTACCCCCTGAGCCTCCTTTTCTCCAGGTTAAACACCCCCATTTCTCTCAGCCACTCCTCACAGGACTTGTGCTCCAGACCCTTCACCAACTTTGTTACCCTTCTCTGGACTCGCTCCAGCCCTTCCATGTCTGTCTTGTAGTGAGGGGCCCCAATCCAAACCCAGTGTTTAAAGTGCAGCC